CTGCCCGCAAGTTGATGGCCTTCATGGCCCCCCTGAAACGTGTGAATCATTACGATAAGCCTGATAACGTCAATGATACTGTTTGGATGGATGCTGTTTCGCTCTCTTGCAAACTTATGAATTTCCAATTGCGGCAATCTCTACGCTCTGTACCTCCCAACACACATGACTGCTGGGGTTCGGTCCAAAAATTCTGAAGTCTCCCTTAGTCATAAGCCTGAATTGAAATCTACTGGTCCACCTGCTTTGACTAAGACTCGCCAGGTACGTAATGCCATCGGCCGATTGTTCGAACTTCAACGTGTTGTTTCTGCACATGGTTGGTCCGCCCATGCACGTAACCTGTTTGCTAAAGTTGATCGCGTGTTTCCTTGTGGAGAGATGTCTCTGGAAACCTGGCACAATTCTTTGATAGCACTTGAACGCACCTGGACCGAAAGCAAGACGCAAGATGCCCTTTCGGCATGGCGTTCCCGTATGCTCTGCACGATATCCTAAACGCAGTTGATAATGGTGAATTTCTTGCCTCGCTTGATTATAGCCTTGCCTTCGATCGCACACATCCTGGTCTTGCAACTCATGCCCTGCACAAATTGGGTATGCCCAGAGCAATTGCGTCAACACTTGAGAGCATGTGGTGTAACCAACGTGGCTTCCTTCAGCTTCTTGGTCACACTCACATACAGCATGTCGAAGTTCATAATGCCTTGTTGCAAGGTGATCCTTGGAGCATGGTTGCCCTGAATGCATGTCTTGTTGCACCTTTTCTTGATGTGCGTACTCAATGCATGGCGGGCAGCCAAACTTTGTATGTTGATGACCGTACACTGATAAGCTTCGGGTTGCCACATGCACTAGCGGAGCGCAGGCTAAATATGGCTGGGCTGTCAAACGACCGCCGCAGACATTTTTGTGACAAATTGCACACACTCTTTGGCCGAATTGCGGGTGAGCATCTCAACGTCTCGCCTGATCTTCGCAAGCTTTTTCGAGGACACAATGCAGATATGTGGTTCATGTCTGGGGTTGATCAAATTCGTGCCGCCTTTCGTGCTGCACGAGACCTTGTTTGTTTGCCTGTGAAATGGAATTCTAAAGGCGCTAGATTCAAATGCCTGACGAAATTCCTGCTTGATTTAGGTTGGAGTATTGAAGGGCCGTGGATCTTTAGCCATGATGATCTTAATTTCACACTGTGCCTCCACCCACTGCGACCTGAGTTCATTCCTGACCAAGGTCCGTTAGATCACATGCTGCGTGAAAGTTGGCGCTCCCACCTCTATAATCAGTGCGTTACTCTACCAGCCCTTGTGCTGCAGCAAGGAAACTGTCCTTTTGTCTTGACATTCGTAATATCCTGAGCGGTGGGTTTACTAGTCCCATGGTTTTCTTCATTAGCACTCGTGATGCTGCTCAGAAAGCTCTGGTGCGTCACCCCAAAAAGCGCAAAGTTTACGTTAAAGCCAAGCCCAACTGCCCGTTATGCCAGGGCCCTGTGGGCACTTTGTATCACTGCCTTTGGGAATGTCCTGCGCGTGACTTTTTCATGTATCCCTTGCCACCGTATCCTAGGTGTCCTCTGCAGAGACGCCTGGGGTGGCCTTTGCAAGTTGATGAGACTCTTGATCTTTCCATCATTGAGTTCTTCCGAAAAATGCGAACCCGCCTCCTGTCCTTGCGGTGAGGCAATGTCTCATAATGCTTTCGACAACCTTTTCGTCACTTCATGTGCCTTTTCGCGATTCTGTCGCTGCCAAGATAGGTGATGTCCCTGGCTCTGTCAAGACGGTCATCATCTCCACACCTTCGTACGTCTCATGCTTCAAAGCTTGTAAAATTTTGTTTCTTTTCGCAACACAACTGTTTTCAACGTTTTTCACACAAAAACAACAAGAGATGCACATGTTGGTTTCTCACATTTGTTGGTAGCCCTCACATGAAATATATAGAACATGTGAATGTACCAAAAACTTTATAGCCACATGAGGTTCAATGCAAAGGTGGCGCCAACAACTTAAGTCCAAGTCGTTCCTTCCAGTGCGGCCCAATGGGCCGCAACACCAAGTGTCTCAAGATAAAAATTGATATATCATGATAGGTTCACCAATCACATGCGAGAAGAAAAATGTGAATGTATGGGAATATGTAGCCAGAAACGAATCCGGGCTATTCGTGTATAGACAGGAGAAGTTAGAGCTATACATGTGTAGCCGGCTATACATGTATAGACCAGAAAAATCGGAGCTGTACATGTATAGCCTGGAAAATTTGCAGGCAATGCATTCCCATACATTTCGTGTTGTCACCAAAACTGTCACATATATTATCTTTTACCTCAGCCCCAGCTGTGTTCAATCATCTAGGTTGGAAAGCCCTAGGTTGGAAACATGGCTTCTTTGCGAGCCGCCAAACATGACCTTTGAACATAGTATCAGGAATATGTTTTGGGATGTTTCGGGCGGCTCCTTAAGCCGCCAAAACAAACCTTCTTTCTACCTTGTCTGATGTAAAATGAAGTGTTTGGAAACAGCCTCGAGAACTTAAAAAAGGCTAAATGTTTTTTTTGTTATACTTAGCAAAGGTATGAACTAATTTGCAAAACTAATAAGTCTCTATAAGTTGTTGAAATGCCTAAACTCAGAGATAAGTTCCATATCCCAAGACCAGCCACGAAGTACCTGACGGAAGAGGTCACCACTCTGAATGTCAGGGGCGCGGGAACCTTCTTCGCTGAACTTTTGCAGGACACGTGTTACGGTTGCACACTCTATTTTGCTTGCTCTTGCGCTGTGATTTTCTTCCCCGGCCCCCCTCGTTGGAGCATTTGTTGCTCCATGATTCGCATGAGGTCACATCCTTCCGACTGTAAACCCATAGTCCAAAACTTTCAATCTTCGGCGCCCTCCCGGCCCTCCCTCGCCAATTTTAACACCAATGTTTGAAGGAGAGGGTGCTCCAAGACGGCGGCGCAGACCGTGAGCTTTTGCTCGACGCCCTCAAATTGGGCATGCGACCAACGTGCTCGCTGCGGCCAGAGGGGTGCTCCAAAGCAACGGGTGCCCGATCTACGTGGGGGTCCGCCTGCGAATGTTTAATCCGTCCTTAAGTCGAGACAACCCTTCGCTTATTCGCTGCCGTTTTCAGCTCTGTATGGACTTGTATTTGGAAGTCCGGGATCTCCAAGGTTTGTCGATGTGGAAATGTTGGGACCACGGTAGGTAGAGAACATCTGGCGAAGCTGCATGACTGCAAAGAGTTTGAGAGGTGTAGAACTTCTCCTTGGTGTCACTGCCGAGGCGATGGAGAAGGTGAAGCCGACCTGCCCAAGACAAGCCAAGTTTTCGGCGGCGGTGCCCCGGCCACTTCTCATTTGTTGGAGCCGTCGCTATCTTTTATCCACAAGCTCAAATGAGCTGCAGTAACGGCCGAGGCCCGTTTTGAAACGGCCATCGGCCGGCTCCAGGCCAACGTGGAGGTGGTAGATCCATGAATACCTTCAGAACTTTGGTCGAGAGTTGCCTTCTTAAAATTCGGGCGATGCGGCGAGCAATCTTACAGTCTGTTTGCTTTGTCAAGGATGTTCATGTATATTGAATATTGCTAAGGTAAACTAGAATCACCAAACACCACCCCTGAACTTTTCCAGGTTGGGACCAACTTTTAGAAGAAGCGGGCTCAAGAAGTTCAAGCCTAGGGTTCTTCGCAGGCTTGGATCACTGAGCATCCCCTTAACGAACCCCAGCGCAGTGATCTGCGTCGGGACAATCCGATGACGTCAGTTGCTCAGGGTGTCCCACCCGGTCCCACCAGAAAATGCAGGGTGGCAGTTGGCAAAAGTTGCCCATGATTGAGTAGATGCTCAGTTTAAGTACAGATAGATGACCAGCTTAGCACGCCTGGGTCTTGGACACATTTGGGGCTGACCTGAAGTAAATACACAAAGAAAACACGCACGCCTGTGCGCACACACACTTATGATTATGCCTGATTACGCGTACTGACTGGACAGCGGTGCCACACGCCAGCCTAAGAAACCAAATCCTGAACAAACCAGGTGAGGGGGTCTGAGCGCCTTTAGTTAAAGGCCAAAATTCCAAAGCCACGAAGCGACGAACAGGTCGAAGAGCGGCGGCCGCTCTTGTCTGCAGAGTGCATTAGCCCTTTACGGAAACTTAAAAGTTGTTGCAGGTACGTCCAGCTGGCCAAGCTGGATATCCCATTTCACTTGTAGCTTCGTTGGACACAGTCCCAATGAAATGCTGTGTCCTCCTGCAAACAAACAAGGTAAAAAGCCAGGCAGAACATTCCAGAAGGATCTGTGTGATTTCAAGGATCACACACACACACACCTCCCCGAGGGGAGGCATTCTTTTTAGTTAAGCTCCGGACGAGGGTGAGGTAGGGTGAAAATTGAACCTACGAGAAGCGGTGAGAGAGAGAGAGAGAGAGAGAGAAAAGAGAGAGAAGAGAGGTCAGATTTCCATGAATCAAGCAAACTTCAGAAGAGTTAAGAAAGGGTTTGAAAGGGCAGAAATAGCTGAACAATAATAAAGTTTGTTTGCCCTTAGGGCTCCAAGTTTGCTTATTAATCCCACTTCCTAAACAATTCATATTGTTCACTTCCCGTGGGCTGGTGTACCACCCCCTTGGAAAATTGTTTGGAACAATGAAATCGTTGAGTTTTACTAAGCGGTTTTGAAACCAATGTCCATGTCAGAATTCCATGAATCAAGCAGACCTCAGGAGAGTTAAGTAAGGGTGTTAAACGGGAACAATAGCAGAACAACCGAAAAGTAAACAAAACTTCAACAAAAACACCCTGGGTGAAAAGGTTTTTTCAAGTGTCCCCTTCACTAAACTATTCAGGGTGTTGGAATGCTTTGGCAATTTTTTTTAAAAATTCCCTCCCACCTGACTAAATAGGATCCGACATGATCCACTATCACCATGTTTGTGTTTGCTCTCACCGCCAATCTGCGCGGAGAGCGCTCATTTGTCAGGAGTTGGCACAGATTCCTCACCAAATCCTACCGCAAGAAAATGGTAATGATACCACTTGGAAAGCTGTGGCCTGGAAGATAAATAAGGTTTTGATTATGTTTCATTTTTTGTGAGTGCCTCCATCGGCGCGCGCAAATTCGTCGGTCGGTTGGCTGAATGAGTTGCAGAAGCGATGCTGCCACTGAGGCATGGGATAAGGGTGGTGCAGATGTGTTCCTTGGCATTATGGCACTCCCCAGAGTCTTGTGTTGTTTTTTGAAGTGCTGTGCCGGTCATTAGGAGCGAACCAGAGGATAAAAGGAATAACGGCATGCGATCTTTTGAAATTTAATTGCGGCATGGATCAAGTGTTTTCCATCCCGAATGCGTCGTCAGCATGTGCTTGTATGTGCGATCATGTGTGCCTCCCTTTTGAAGGGTGTTGCACTCCCGAAAGAAAAATGGACAATGGCCCCTGGAAGATTTCCGCTGCCAGTGGTTTTCAGGGTCCATGTTAGTCTTCCAGGGTGCTGCTCCAGCCAAATCCAAGCCCCGTTGGCCTAACGACGTCAACGACGCCCTCATCCAGAGGCGCATCTAATCTCCGCTCAGCCAGGCTACTCAACGTCCCGTCGCCCCAAATGACCGAAGAATTGGCGCTGGCCATCCATGCGGAGGGCCTCGGGTTCTTAGCATCTGGACGTGTCAAGGTCAATGCTGGAAAACAGCCACCCGGTTGCGATGTTCCGTGTGCCGGAGCACGGCTAAAGGATGTTAAAGGGTATTTTGGGGTAGGGTGGGCCACCACTGATTCAACTGGGCCGTATCACCTTACACGAGTCTTGATGCAATCAAACCAAGCAAATTCTCCGACCGTGCCAATGGTAGTGCTGCTTGAATTCTTGCAGGGGGCTTTCCGTAGTCGCTGTGTTATGGTTTGTCATGCTGTCGTTTGGCGAATGAGTGGTGAATCAGTGGACACCTCCAGGGTGGGAAGGACATGAGATAGGTGCGAAATGTATGCTGGTTCCAGACCATCTTTGAGGCCTATCAGTTGGGCGTCAGAAGCGGCGATGGTCACCGTTTTCGCAAATACAGTAAGTCAACACTCTTCAAAGAGGACAATGGAACTGTTTTGGCCTGTTACAGGTTGCGGGCCTTGGTGAGTTTCTATGAGCTGGGTAAGCCTAGTAAGCCCTGAAATTTAGGACACTTTGATCGCTTCACTAGGATTCTGCGGAAAAAAACAAACATGAAGAACGGGGGTGTAGCCTGTTCACCCGCCAGTTTGGTCGTAGCATGTTTAATGTAGCAACGATGACTACGATGACTCCGGACTCCGCTCCAACAAATTCGCTCGAGGTCATGTCAGCTGGATGGGGGCGGCTTAGTGGAGTATGAGATCCTGGCTGAGCAGGTGCTGCAACTCCGGGTGACATGATCTAATCATGCTAATAAAATATTAAGAAAATATATATATATATTTATATTTGTATTATTCTATATTATAATATATATATATAGATACAGTATATGCTATGCATACCAGGCAGTGAGGCAGCTCCCCAACCAATCACCTTTCACGCAGTGTGGGGGAGGTGTTTATTTTTAGAGAACCGACCCGGGAAAAGTCGACAACCCAAGAGCTACCCTGCGGGGGAGTGGGCTTCCCCACTAAAAGCGCACAGATTGAAAAGGGTTGACCGACCATTGCCCAGAGAAACAGAGGTTTTCTCTGAAGCATGCCTTGTGTTGAGGCCATGTGTTGAGGGTCAATGGTCAGCTCATGTCAGCTCCTTTACAACCCTTCCGTTTCTCACAAATCCATCGTGCTGGCAGGTCGGTCAGCTCTCTGCAATGATTCTTGATCGGATTTTTCAATGGTGGGGGGGCCTCGATCTTCACATGGAATACAGCTTCGCCCTTGAGGATTTGTTCAATTTCAATATGAGGGCTTGAAAGGTTTTGCGCCATCCGACGTTTGACAGGCACACGATTTTTTGGGCCACGGTGATCAGATGCTCATTTAATGTAGACGCTGTTTGATGAATTAAGAAACAATACGGAGGTGTATGGAGGTGTAAAACAATTCTAGTATGATCTAGTTACTAGGGTGTATGGCGGTATGGGGGGTTATTGATCAACGGTCTACATGATCTTGCGTCGGGCCCACGAACTATCATCCCATATCATCCCGTATCATCCCCTTAGAACCCTCGGATGCACAATCTTAAGGAATATTGAGTTGCTGTATATTGCTACCTCTTTTCAAGTCTTGCTAGGTTTGGCCATACTTCTCTCCCAACCCCTCACCCCTGGAAGCAGGGTCCTTGCTTCCCAAATTTGAGAGTCAAGTAGCTACAGAGTCTCTTACCACTTCACCACTTGCTATAATTCTGTTTGTCGTTTATCCTGAAAACTGGCCTCAAGTTGATGCTCATGCCGACATCAAGTGTTCAGGTTGAGACCTCTCACAGGCACACTGTGTGACCACAATAGTATTTGGGATGTGATCAAGATTCGAACCCAGAAGGTTTGGGCATGTTTGGGCCAATGGTTCACACTTGACATCATCCCGTGTCATCCCCATGAATTGCAGGGTGTGAGAGAGGACCCTCTATGAAAGAGGCATGAACAACATGAAGCTTCAGCCTTCCAGGCCTTCCATCCTGCTCAGACCTTTGACAGCTGAGGGTCCATCGCACTAGCACGAACACGCGTGAAAGGATCGTTCGGAGGTGCGGTGCAGCCAGCCGGGCCTGTGTGGATGGGCAGATGATCTGTAGCCAGTTGATGATCCTGTTGGCAGATGATTTGTAGGTGTATCATGGTGCATCCAACGATCAGAAAAAACACAAGGCAACACTTTCATGGGTGGAATCTATATGTCAGACAGACCGTTTGGCACGGGTGAAGCTCCAGGTTGGAGAAGCTCTTTGAAGTGAAAGACGACAAGGTCAAAGTGGTCATGGCTCTAGTTGCTGGGCTTCCGTATTTGACACCCAGTGACCCATCAGTGACCCATTGCACCTGCAGTGCCCGGGCTGGATCTCCATTGAAGGACTGTCGCCGAATTGCGCCATGGGACCTCACTGCTTGGTGTCGGAAGTAGGGTGTAAAAGCGAACCACCACGGAACAGACCACTGTGAGCTTCACCCCTCGTTCCATGACTCCTTCATTGAGGTGGCCTGCCGTAGGACACTCCAACAAGGCCCAGCAGGGTGTATTCTTTGTAGGGTGAGCTGCTGAGCGAGGGGATGAGAGCAACATGTGTTCAAGGAAATTGATAAATCGGAACCACTGAATCCAGGTAGCAACGGATCCTTATTTAGCCTGAGCAGATGACTGGCACCATCAAATGCCCAGATCCCTTATCTTTCCAAATCAGCAATTTGATAACGCTTCAGTGTCTTGCCCTGCCCCATGGCTGATGATCTGGTATTCGATGTCCCGCATGTCGCTGAGGATTTGGGCCAGGCCATGCAGAAGGCGTCCCTGATGAAATCCAACCTGGCCAAATCCAACGTTGCCAAATTTGAAAGTGCCCTCAACCCTGCGACTTGGTGATAGATGAGGGATGAGCGAAGAGATGGGAGGATGGCGATGAAGATGGTGGTTGCTCTCAACGAAGTTGATGTTGGCATGGTCAAGCGTGTGGTTGGGGTATGACAGCCGTGCAAATTGCAGGCACTTACCTCTGACTTTGACCTACATCTATATGAGAAGCATCGCGTGGAAAACATGTGTGTGTATTCTTGAAACCTATATTGTATTATATACAAATATCGTGTATATACATATATATATATACATGTGTGTGTGTGTCGTGTCATCACCATTTCAGATTCAGTGGTCCCTGCTTGGATAAAACGCACGCTCTCAAATGCCCGCTCTCAGGAAGAACTGGACGAGGTGCGCTCTCCGTCCGGGCCTGCCTGGAAAATCGCTGGACATCCATGACCCGGAAAGGGCATGTTCTTTTTTGGAGCCGGAAGGGGGCATGTCGTACTATGCTAGTTGGGCGGTTGATTGAGAGTTTTGGCGGCACCTTCCCACCAGGCAGATCACAAGTCCCTTGTGCATCCTTGTGCCTCCTTTTTTGCGATTGCCGCAAAGCTTCCTGCCAGGTCATGGTCGAACTGAAGAGGATCCACGATCAAGAGATTGAGAAGGGCAGAAAGCGTGCACGCCGGCAACCGGTGCTCTCCTGGAATGGTTTCGTGGCGCTCGAGCTGCAAGCAGCCTTTCTCATTAACAAAATTGATTGAGGAGTTTTTGTTAACGATATATGTGATTGGTCTGGTTTGACACCTATGGCTGATGACATAACCCAAGCGATTCCCTAGTGAATAAAAAGGGGTTCAACCCTATACCTATCATGGGGCGAATGCAGATGCGTGAAAAACCATGAAAACCAATGAAAACCATGCGTTTGGATGCATTAGTCTATTTGATGACTGTACATGTTTTTTCCGTGCTTACTCGTAGGTACGCCACGTATGCCCCGCAAAAAATAAGAAACAACACTGCGAGGGTGTCTCCATGTGTCCGCCATCGATCGGGTAGGGTACGGAGACCACATGATCTTCGGATGCCACGCGTCTCCAGGTCGACCTCCTCGGTCGACGGTCGGCGATGGGGTGGGACGGTCGAACACTGGATGTGGTTGGGACGTTGAGACGTGGTGAGAATGTGAATGTATGAGAATCCACACTGCCTGGACCGACCTTGTGGAGCAAGTATCCCATCGTTTTTCACAGGTTAAACCATGTGAATGAAAAATTACTCGTCCCACCTGTTTGCAGGATACCTGAAACCGGCGGCAGCCTGGTCGGGTTCATGTCCGTCAGCTCGTCCGATGGTCCAGGTTGTCCGGGTTGTCCTTTTGGACGAACAACAAGGACCTTCAAAGTGACCTTCTGAGAACCCAGTTTGAGGTCACTTAGTATCACTTGGTCCATATAGAGGCCACACACACGGACTCCAAGGTGACGGTCACGTACTGAAGGTCCTGGAAATTCTTGTTTCCTGGTATTCTGCAGCTGGTAATGACTGATCCTTTTCTGGAGAGTTGCACTGAGGAATGCATGTTGCTCCCAGACTTGCCCAAGTTCACCAGTGGCCCTACCGCCTTTGCCTCAGAGACGGTGTTTTTCATATACAGCATAATTACCGTATATATAAGTCCGACATACGCCCGAAGGTGGACACTGTGGGTTTTACGTGGACACTGTGGGTCCCAACGGTGGGACCCGCTGTGGGTGTTGTTCTGCACCAGGTGGTCATGTTCTTCATTTTGCAAGTGCGAAGGCCTTGAACCTCTTCATTGTGCAGAGGGAGTTGTTGGGAGATGACATGCCGGCCACCGGGACCTCTACTGCACTGCTGATGGCCTATGAGAAGCTCGGGATTGTCATTCTAAGATAGCCTTGGATCTGGAAGATTGAAATTCAATGGTCTTTGTGCCATTTTGTGCCAGTGTGCTGTAGCTGCAGCTTCAGCTATGGCACCAAGTTGGGTAAACTTGGCAGGTACCAAGACCTTGAGAGAGGCAAACCAAAACTGCCCATCTGCTCGTGACGGCAGCTTCATCCATTCAACCGAAAAGTGTTGACGCTTGCCCGTTTGCTTGCCTGTTCTGTCCATCTATGCCAATATGGCCAGCTTGGCACTCAAAGGAGGGTGTCTTGAAGCCCGGGTTGGCACTGAAACTAGAGGATCTAGAGGCAATCGAGCAATATTTTGATACCAATCATGAATGACGGCCTTGGGCGTTTGCTGCATTTGTTTCCACATTGTGAACAACGAGCTAAGCATCCAGACCTGCACTCCAGATTGTAGGCGATGCCCAGGTCCAGAATGTCAGGTTCCAGTTGAATCCATTTTGGAAATCCTTTCAATTTAGGGGTGCGATGTGGGAGCTGGGGGGGTGTCCAATGCACATCATTGTATATCCTCTTCGAACAAAAGTCGTTCGGAGCTCAGCACTTGCACTTGCTGAGACCTGGCTGGTCTTTGACCGGAAGCCTCACAAAGACAGACGTTTGTAGCCGAGGAAGACCAAGAAGCCCATCAGTCGATCTCAGCGCTGGGTGAACCTCGTCACTGCTCTCTCCACGGGAGGCATCATCGTCAGCCGCTTGGCCCGCTTGTTCGGAAAAGCCGAGGTGTCAAACTGTAGCCCTGGAGATCCATCCGCAGATTGTTTTGTTCCACACACCGGAATCGACGTTCGGAACTGGGCAAAACCGGTTCGACCATCGGATTCTTCAGGGGTGACCGGTCTACGGTCGAAGTGACCGGTCTACGAAAAGGCGAGGTAGAGCGAACCGTATGAGCCTTTGGTGCTCGAGAAGGACAGAGTCTTCGGACATCGGGCCTTAAGCCAGTTTGCAGTCTAAGTCTGAGTCGACATGGACCTTACTAAAATGATCCTAATCCGTGGGTCTCCAGTCTACTTGCGATCTAGCACCTTTGTGACTGCGTAAGGTTTCTCATGCTTGTTCGCTTGCACTGGGGGGGGATCATCGATGGTGCCATCCTATGTTCTGGACTATGTCGATGGGATCATACACCATTACATCGGAGACAGGTGCCTATCATAATCATCATAATCTAAACTCACCCTAGGAGTTGTTCAAGGCACATTCGATTTTCAAGTCAAGCTCTTGTAGAAGACAGAACAAGCATGTTAATGTTCCTGCTTTTTAGAGGGATTCAGCTTGTTTGTTTGTTACTGTTCCTCCAGCGATTGAGTCACACCCGAGCAGCGATGGTAGACCTCGACCCAAAAACACAGCATTTTTCAACCAACCCAACCTGTTGACTGGATTGGATTGATAGCGCCGCTCGGGATTTTTCTTCACCCGGGCGGCAAGGTCTTTGTTTTCGTGAATTTCTTCCATGGCTGGCAGCATCTACAGTGTGTTTGTGCATTCCGAGGCTTTGTTTTGATGGGCGTTGCTTTGGATACTGACCCCAACTTGCTGATTTGGCTTCTGCTGGACACCATCGTCGCACTGATTTTCGTGGCTGAGGCGGGGTTTCCTTTGGGAGGCGCTAAAAAAGATGCTGAACAAGTCGAACTGCATCTGACTTGGCACGCACTGGTATAGAGGGCCAACAGGAATTCCTTGATATTGTAGCTCTGGGACCTTGTGTCATTGGCTGGAACCATGAGACCATACACCCAGCTGGCGGAGCTTCCTGTTCTCTTTTTTTTGCTTCGGAAAGAACATGCCCCTTTTGGGGGGATTGGCCACTCACAAGGCACGACCCCTCCTTTTAGGGCTAGCGACTAGTGCGCAAATGCGCCGCGACTCGCAAGTGACCGCCTGCGAGCTCGTTGATGCTTCGAAGATCAGCGAGGGGAGCTTCAGATCAGCTGCTTCGACAGCTTCGACTGCTGAGGTGCAGTAGGTTAGGCTCCAGGCTTCGACTGCCCATCCAGTAGGCCACTTCTGCCCATTCAATGTGCCAATGACCAGAAACATGTTCTTCCAGGGGTGTCTTCCCTGTCACTGGACCTTGATCCAAATGGACGCTGGCCGGGGTTGATGCACCAAGGAGGGCTAATATAACTAATTTGTGGATCATCATGGATCTATACATGGGCCCATGGCGTTGTACCTAAACGGACATGTCCAAACGACAATCTCGGGGGTTGGTAGCCCCCCTTCCCTCGGCAGCGGAGGTGGTGGTCAAATCCCTGGTGCCTTGGATGAGACGGTCCGTTCAGGGCCCTGCTGCGGTGTTTTGAGCGCTTCGAGGTATTGCAGGACCTTAGAATATCTGATTCCATCAGAGCAACATTGGTATAGATGTGATGTTAGGTCTTCTTTTGGAGAGGGTTGAATACCAATGTCGTGACTGGACCATGACAGATCGGCAAACTGGATTCCAATTGCAGGTCCGTCTCCAAGTGGCCGATGGGCAAAAGTACAAGCAGTTCCGAACAAAGTACCATCCACATAGACGGTGGTTTTTGTTTGCGATTCCCAGGCGTTCCAACCTCATCCTCAGGAGGCAATTAGACCCTCGAATCTCACTCCAACTACCTTTGAAAAGGAAGGTCTTTGAAGCCCTTAGGATTTATCACATATCTCATGTCACTTGCTTTTGATAATGAAGTTCAAGAGTCTGCAGCTGCTTGTCATGCCCCTAGTGTGGATGATCTTGCCTTAACTTGAGGTGTTTACAGCCAGGGAGTATTTCTTCGGTCGAGATCGCGTGTGGAACTGCTTTGACGTCGGACTTTCGCTGGCGGCTTGGCAGAGTGCCCGCTCCGGTGCGGCATCAACATGAGTTGCCTCAAAATATGTCGATCGCAATGTAAAAAGGAGACCGAAGGACCATGCAAGGGGCTATTCAATCATCATCATCGCTCCCATGGTGAGGAATCTTTGGGACCCAATGTTCGCAACCCAAATCCAGTTGTCGTCAGATACAGGTGCCTTGTAAAGAAGAGAGAGAGAGAGAGAACACGAGAGAACACATGTCTACACATTCTTAGGTGTTGCATATCTGAGGGAATCTGCGCAGTTAAATCTCACCCATTGCACGATGGGCATTTGTTGCCTTTTTTGATTTGTTTTGCGCAGTTTCTGCCTTCCGAGTTGTTTGAGTTGTTAGTGTGTGTGTACTGTGCAACCTCGTTTGATATTTAGACATTTGATAACATTGCACCACTTAAATCCACTTACTGTAAATCAACCTCCCCTTTTGGCCTTGCGGCTGTGCCCTTGGAGGGAACTGTTCTTCAACATTTGAGGCGAGGTTGGTCAACGGATACACCACATACAGGAGGATGCAAAAAAGGCACAAGGAAGGTCTTAAACACGTTTAAACACTTTTCTTGCCTGTGACAACGACATCTATGATATTGTCATGGATTAAAGACTTTCGCGTTCCAACATCCACTCACTGAAGTCGTTTGCTCTTTGGTCTCTCAATGTTTTGGGATGCCTAAATCTAAAGCTGAATTATGTGGCCCATGAAACAGACTAGAGGCGCTTGCGTAATTCTCAAAAGCCTGGATCTTGTTGGATGAACAATGATAGGGGAGACTCCTGCACAAATGTGAGTCTATATAATCTTCAAATTGTTGTTCCAATATGCCCCAATCTTTCCGCCCGAATCTCTTTGCTAAGGTGGCCGTGGCGGAGATTGCCATCAACATCATCTACAGCAGCTCTGGGGACACAGCGAGGCTTGGAAGCATTGGACGCAGCGGAAATTCCCCGCTTCAGGGGTTATCTCCCTGCTCTTGTTCCAACAGAACTGGCCGAGCGCTGTCACACTTTGCAGTCAGTCCTTTGAAAACACTCAGGAAGGCCGCCTTGGTCCTGCGTGGTTTACGTTTGGCACGCATGGCACGCTTGGCCAAGCTCATCCGGATGCCACTGCTGGCGGAATTGGCCAACCTCATCTCGGGCACCCTGGCAGTCTAGCTTCCGATGAAGGCAGTCCCTGCTTTTGGACAGTCTTGCCCAGCAGCTGAGGATTTCAGGATTTGGATGGGTTTGTGGTTTGCTTGAAAGGGACATCCAACTCTCTACTTTGGACCTCTATACAGCCATCCTAGACACGACTCGGAAAGCCTCCATGTACGGTGATGCACTTGGTTGCCGACACACAAACTAGGCCCTTCTTTCCAAAGCTGAAGGATGGTGACATAGCCAGCATCAATCAACATCACACATCCCATGCCAGAACCCGAAACAACAGGTCTCTGCATCACCACCCACCACCCGCCATGTCTTCCCAATGGCACGCCGGACGGGAGTCCTGCCGCCTCGAAGCCGCCTCGAGGCTTCGTGCTCAGTGTCCGGGACTCGGCGATCAAACCGCTGTGCTCTCAGAGAACACGAACGAACTGGGTCGCACTTGAGCCAGTATTTCATGTATTTCTTCAGAACTGTGTTGTCGCATGTTTTGTCCACATAGGCATAGGCTAGTGCACCTAGGACTTTCATAGACGATAGATGCTAAATCTCTGGCTACAGTAAATCTTTCCGAAGCCGCGACTTCGCTCGGCTTTGCTCCGAGTGGCCGGCTTGCTTTGGTGAGGTTCGATCGCTCTTTTGGGTGATGATCTTCCTCACGCTCATCGTCTATGAGACCTGGCAGCACGTAGAACAGGCTTCTCGAGAAGGGCCGTCAGTGTGTTGAATGACTATAATATAGCCCGCCCACACAGGCGAACGCTCTCATGCCTCAAGGCTGAGAGACTCATCGCTTGGTCATAGTAGATTAATTATAGTAGAATCATCAGGTGGACATGACAGGAGCAGCTCATACTCTGTATTCAAGCAAGATTTCTCGCACACTGCCCTGTCCTGAGCAGCTGGATGTTCAACAGTAAAATCAGTTTCTTGATGTTTCTTCTTGAAGGTTGAAAGATGTTGAAAGCAAACACCGCCAAGTATACTGGGTGACCCAAAGCTTAATGATGATAGCCTTGATAGCCACATCGTTCGATGGTATTTGCAATTCTTATCAGCTGCTCAAGCTACCTATATAGCGGCCAGGCCCACTTCAGCATAAGTATATGATCGCCGTGAGTGTTGCCATGTGTTGTTCTTTTTGCTATCTCATCCCCACTCTCTTTGCAGGCAAAAACCCTGATCAAATCGACACATTCTTTTTTTGGAAACTACCTTGCCTGGCAGTCCATGAGCAGCAAACAACGGGTGTGAACACTTCTTGTGTTCAAACCTCAAGGCCTTTTTTCTTCAGGGAGGATTGCCAGGCTTGAGGGGGTGAGGATGGCCAGGTTCACCCCCAAAGATCCATGGGAAGGGGAAGAGACATGGAGAGAAAGCACCTTCAGGCGTAGGTGGGCGGCCGAAAGCCAAACCAATTCTGGAATGCTTCTGAGGGGTTAAGGTTTTGTGTTATACCTGGGTTGCCAGGTGCCGGGTTATATCGGGTTCAGGGTAGTCCTGGGTGGCGTCCGGAATCATCGTCTAGAAGATAAGCTGGGTGGGTAGTTGCCGGAGTCCGTAGTTGTGGACATTGATCTTGAACAAGGATGTTGCATTAAGCCACTCTTGTTACATTAGAGGGTAGCTCCAAGGTTCATGTGTCCAGAGATGAATCTCTCACTTAAATACATTATATATGTTTTCAGGAGGTCAAGCACAACCAAGCAAACCTCTTAGCACCTTCAGCCATTGTCCACCAAACCAGTGGACCTAACATCCGGAGATGCAGGTGGCACCAAAGCTCAACTTCTATTATATAGGGTGTTGGTCTTCACCCCACAAGTTCCGAGGTCATTGCACTAGGCTTTCGCGCTGGAGTCGAGACCTTTTCCGGCACCATGCCGGACAATTGCACCTTGAATTGAAAGCAGGTGCAAGTGAAGGAGAAGACCTTCGCCTTCAACAAATCATACATAAGATATTCTTAAATACAAATCCAAACACCTCTCGAGAGGGCCTGTATTCTGAAGGGCCCGATCGAGTGCTCAGTCAGATTGTTAGAATTCTTTCCATCATCCTTCGGTCAGGCTCCACTGGAGGACCAATTCAGGTTCGCTAGCCGGGATAGCTTAGCTGCTGGGGCCCAGCGTCAGTCCAAAAGTAAGCACAACAACTACTCCCCCAAAACAATCGCTAACTTATTGTATTTTTCTGTACTATTTTGTATGATAGATAGTAGGGGAAGGCAGACGTTAGTTGAAGCGCGGCGGGGTACCGTAAAGATCGTAAAGTACAATTCTGGATCGTTTTCCAGCAGAAGATCAATTCATAGTATTTGCCAACTGCGCATTCTGGGGATGTGTACATCAATGTAAATATAGCTATATATCCTCCAGCATTTTCTCTCTCACCGTCACCGCGCCGTTCACGGCTCCCCCAGCGGTCGGCTGTTCCGCTGTTCCGCTCGACCGCCCCTGAGGCCTGATGGGCGATTTCTATCCCTTGGGCAATGACTTGGAGCAGCAACTTCCACCCGGCTGCCACTGGGAGACGAGTGACGGCGAGGACAAGCCGGTGAACATTCGCTTCCCAAAGAGGGGATGACTCGGATGGGTGGGACATGACATGCATCCAAATGGTGGGAACCTGTTAGTACTAGGGTTTGGAGTGACTTAGTCAAGGCCGAAATGGCAAACTCTTCAGAAGCTGCCAGGCTTGATGTTCATGACCCTCGGCTTCAGGTTTAGGCCCACCAGCCGATGTCGATGTGCCGGATTGGCGTCCTCTAAAGACTGTCCTCCGGCTTCAAGCAGCAGCAAAGTGTGAGCATGTTGATGTGGGACGTGGGACACGGGAAGCGAAGCCATATGGCCATCTACTTTGGCCATTACGTCTCTGGAAGGTTGGAATTAACTCTCCTAAACCCACATAAGACAACTCATCCTGGGGTTGGAACAGTTCAACAAAAGTGAAACGGTTGTGGTGTGGTACGATCTTACTGTACATGTTATTTGCGTGGTTTTACTAATTAGGGGAGGACCCTTGCACTGTCCTTTGCGTCGTTCAACTTGGTTGAAGCTCCAGATTCGCCAAGGCAAGCTGCATTACATGTATGGCCTGGAGTTTTGCGCCAGCGTCGTGGGTTGCATGTTCTCGATTTTCCGCTGTATGATCAGCGAATGTACCACCAAAGGCCGGCCCGGGGGAGGGCTATTGATCCAGTCGTTGGGGGGGGTCGAATTGCTGATTACAGTATAAGCACCTTTGTTTTTGGCCAACAATGAAGAGAACCAGTAAGAGAACCCACATCCTTTAGCGCTTGGATGTCCAAACCATTTTCGGGTCAAAGAGCCAGGCCGCCAGGCCTGTGCATGTTGGGTGGCTCCATCCTGTTTCGGCCAAACGATTCACACCCATCGCCATCCCTCGCCCTTTGCGCCGCACTCCTCGCCCTGGGCGCCCAACTACTTGGCACACCGGTTCTCCTCAACGCCTGAAAGCGTGCTTCAGAAAAACACCTGTGACACACATGACTCGTAGGTGGCAGATCGCTGACCATGATTTTTAGCGACGGCATTGGCCTGGAATTCGACATGTTCTATGCCGTTTCCATGGTGGTCGTTCCTGGGAGCCGTGCGTTCAAGGTCTGCTGCGTTCACGGTCGCTGGCGGTCGGGAGTCAGGGCACCGGTAGATTGGAGGACTGAGCGACACTTTCGGGGGCGAGGTCATGTTTGTGTTCCTTGGGGCCCAATGGGGTTGGTAGAGAGCGGAATGTCCGAACATACAGGGGGGGGTTCCAGCGGAGCGTAAGAGCATCATGATCCATGTGTTTTGTGAAAACAAATTGTTCGAGCAGTCCCAGCAATGCATGATAGCGAACCCTTGTAAGTCCAAAAATTTTGCCTGAAGAACGTTTGCAAAAGTGTGACTCGCGAACAGCAACTTTTTGGCTTACCCCACCTCTTTGAATTTGACCCGATAAACTATTTGATATATATATATATGTATATATGTGTGCATGTGTATAATGCTTGCAAAACCACTTCACAGCTCATAGCCCTTCAAAAAAAGGCAACATGTTGCATGTCTTGGATTGTGGTGCATTTTATGAGGTTACAGCCTTTCCATGCCTTTCCTGTCTACACAATGATATACAATATACAGCCATTCGGCAACGTACGTGTTCAAGCTTTCACAACACTACAGGATCTTTCAAACATATTATACATGCAATGGAAAAGACTGGAATATATATATGACAAGCGACTGGCCTCCCCCCTAAGAGTGATGGCCTCCAACACCGCCAGCTGCATGCCAGTCCCATTCATCCAAGGTGCTCTTTGGCCTTTTCAACATCATTACGGCGATTTTCGTTGAGGCGACGTTGCCCCTCGGCACGGGTGGTGGCCCCCGGGTATTGGCATGTGAAAGAGGCGGTGCGGATCTGAAGATGAACAGCCTGGAGGGAGACTCCCGCACCCGAACGTTTTTTCAAGAACCTGACAGGTAGGGCCCCTGCAGCCTGAATCTTGAGGGATCTAGGAGATCTCTTTGTTGATTCATGCCTGGCCCCTAATTCTCTACCAATATGAAGATTGGTGCCGATTGGTGCTCGGTGTTCATGCTTACTTCATTTTTTTGGGCGCACCACTCAGGAATCGTGGTATATAAACATCCTCCACCTTGAGAAACCGAAAGACCACCAAACACTACTATTTGAGGTGGGAGGTGTCCCTTGGACTTGCCAGGCATTTGACTTGCCTGGCAACCTGCCTGGCTGCTCCCAGGAATGGCTTGAAAGAGAACGAGGTCCAGCGAAAATATGCGAAGGCCTACGAATCGAACTACATGACCGAACAGCTCGCAAAGCTGGTGCCGTGCTCGCAGCACTGGATCGCTGAAGTCAGATGTGGAACGAACACGCCCTTTCCCACCCCGTCGGGTTCAAGAAAATCAAAAGGAGAAGCTCCGGAAAACATCGCAAAACGACCTGAGACTGGGCAAGGCTGTTTGCTTTTGCGATGACATGTTTGAGCATTGGTTTGCTGAAGAAGGCTGGGTTGCTTCACGCTGCAGCTTCCTCAGGTCATGACTGTCTCCACCCAAGTGCAGAAGCTGCGGAGCAGGACATGCTTTCAAAAGCTGCGGTGGGCCACGACGGTAGGGATACTCCACCAGTGCGGACATCCCCAGGATGTCCTTTTTCAGGACGACTTCGGGGAACAGAACTGATGACATGTATGATGTAGGTACGTATATACCAGTAGACCTGTTATTTCCAGTTTGGCGAGTATTGGGGCAGAGTCTAAGTTCAGCGTTTCGGTTTCACCCAACTTTGCTTCCACCATCCGACATGTCAGGCACCATGTCTTGGCGTGGTTACATGTGGGACGTTCACCTCATCATCTTCGCCCGCGTCTCAAGACGTGTGATGGCATGATACGGCATGATGACACATGCACAAAAATGAAAACAGTTAAACAAGTGCTAGGGATCTGCATATCCTTTGAGAGACGGTGATGTGTGAAGGACACTCTTATGTAGGTGCCAAAACATCGGGTCCGTCGTCGTATGTTGTGAGCAGGTACTTCCTTGGATCCCCGTCGGGCCCCGAACGCGGCCCAGTCCACGTCCTCTCACCCATCCTCGTCCGCACCGGCACCAGCGTCTCCAGGACAGCTTTGCCTGGCTTACAATTCAGCAACAGGAGCGTGGGTAACAGGCGCGCGGGGCCTTGAGGGGAATCATCTGCGAAGGATGCTTGGCTTTGAAGGTGCCCACGTGTGTGAACAGATGCTCCTTTCCAGATGGGTGCGTGCCTTAGTGAGGCCCATATGTTCAGTGCCCCAGTTCTCGCAAGTCTCACCACCATGACCGGCATCACCCCGCATCCAGGCAACTTAATAACGACCCAACCTTGTCCGGAACACGCCGGGTTTAGGCTGTGATCAGTTTATCGGACTGAGAAAGAAGCGGCAGTGCTTGGGGGACCGTTGACGATGTGCGGTCGATGTAGCATTGCTGCGGCATCCATGAACTTTTGAAGTTTTTCTTCATGTTTTTCTGCTCGCAAGACGGAACATGTCATATATATGTCACGTATATTGTTCATTTGGCACAAGTTCTGGGCTCATGCAACGATCCTGGAGGCTTCCGAAGATCCGTCAAGATGGGACTTCTAGACGCATCCAGTTCGTTCGTCCAGTGTCAACACAAACTCGCAGGCAGGAAAACGCGCTGCAAGATGGCGAGATCTACCTGAGCCGCGCGGACGCATGTTGCCAGAACCAGATGGGGATGTTTGTTAAGCAGCCCTGCGCGTTTGGTTCGGGCTGCTTTTCGGTAGGAAAGAGATCAGAACATCCATGGGGCGCCATGGGGCCTGTACTTTCCAAACGCTTCCCGTCGTCCGTGACTCTTCCGTCACGCGCGGACCGGGTGATCGGAGAGCTCGACCTCCGGGATCGGAAGCGGTATCTGGCTTATAGCCTATAAAAGTCTAGGACTAAGACTAAGACTAGAAGATGTTATAGCCATACGTGTTAAAACTTATAAGATCTTTCTTTGGATCTAAAAACCTAATTTAGGGTAAGGTTCTTGAATCTATCTTGAATCTTTTCTGTGTGTTTTCCAAGCATTGTTGGAGAACACAGTTGCAATGTATATACGGTAAAGGTGCCTCAATATCCTCAAATTGCGTCCCAGCGATTTGAGTGCTTCTGTTGACACTTGGCGTCGATCGAGCACAAAGAAAGACCAGACACTTTGTCCAATGAACTATAGTGTGGGTTTGCAGTGTTTGTAGGTGTTCGACATTCAGCTAGCTAGAAGACATTCGAACACGACAACTGGTTCGACCTTTTTTCGGGAAGCGAGGTGAACATGGACTCTTTTGCACAACTCAATTGGTGAATGCGGGGATTCGGCACTGGAAGATGGTGCTGCTTGTGACTGAGGTGAAGAGGAGTTTAATCAACTCGTACGGCATCCAGATGCAGCTCGGTGATCGGATTTCGCAGGGTGCAAAGCCCTGAATGGGGCCCTGTACGCACGTGGTCAGTAATTCAGGACCGACCGCGAAGACTGGACACCGAATACATCACAAGGGACGTGGGTGGTATCGGTGGGGAAAAGAACGAACACAGCAGCATGTTTTTCCCCTGCAATGCTGATGAGGCGTGTTTTTTTGTGGTTTTGCCATGCCCAACGGAGTTCTGCTTTTCATGTCTCGTGTTCAGAGTTCGATTTGCTCCAGATCGATGTAGTGAGAGAGCATCTTCAGGTCAGACTGATTCTAAACGACCTGGACGTGCACCTGGGCCAAAGCGCGGACACTCCCTGAGACCCGCATGTTGGTTGAGAGTCGTTCACCGGCATTTTTACGCCTTGCATGATATGTTTTGGGACACCTTGACGGCAGCAAATCTGTTCATGGGGTATATGCTCTTTGGGTGATGTTCCAAAGCGCTTAATATGCATTACCTCCAAACCTCGCCGGCGAATTGTGAAGGCTTGGCAGCCAAACATAATTACGTAGAAAAAAGTATGAATAAGCGAAAGTCGCAGGAGCACTGCAGATCAGATTGCAGCTCGTACCGTTATGCTTGATGATTGCGTCAATCTCTTTAGCATAATAATATCGTAGCTGTCTAGCTTTGTGCCCATGGTGATCAACGGAGTCCGTGGTTGATACTGCAACGTCACTCATGGTCTATGGCAGCTACGCCCCAGATATGGTAAATTCATCCAGCCAAATAGACCCCCCACGCCCTTGGACCAAGCTCATGAGTCTTGGAAGATGGTGCCTGTACTGGTCCTGTATACATACTGTATATAGAATATAAGGGATTCGGGGTTCCCACGTCATGTTTGTATTCTTTGGTGTGCAGTTAGGGCGGTATAGATCCTAGAGCTGGTATGCAGAGCTGTGTCGCCCTTTCATGTGCAAGCTCGGGCACCATCAACTCAGCCGGCGCCAACCACACTCCACCTTGGCCTGGGGTCGGAGTTAGCGTTTGGTTTTTTTTTGCGCACGTCGTGGGCACAAGAGATCCGTGAAAAGCCGCGTGGAGATTAACCGCAAGACATGTGCTAAGCGCTGTCAAAGTCCAAAGTCGACGAGTCGACGAACCAGTGCAAGCAGTATATTACAGTATATATGGTCCTGGAGTCACAGGAGTGCTTAGTCCCTAAGTCAGTGGACAATGAGCATCCCTAACCTCCATTAAGCACCGCTTTGGAGCTGCTGGTGTGTGGGTTCCTTAAGGGTGTACCAAGCGAGGCTAGTCTGTAGCTCTAACCCCGCCAGTGCTGTCACTAGACTTCGCGACTTGGCCTAAGAGCAGCTCAGGAGTGTTGAGCCAAGACCAGGCATTTTTGAAGCCTTCCATACTGATGCTCGGTGGAACTTTTTGGAAAGGCTCCCCGTGGCCAGGGTTTGAGTTTGATCCGGAAGCAGCTGAGAGACGTAAAGAGCATAGGAGCTCGGAGGAGATCTCTCCTTTGACGAATGCGGTTGAGGGGGTTCGGGAACAGGCTGGAACGTGGAACGGGTCCGACCGTCGGCCACTCGCGAAGCACCCAGGAAGAAGATGGAACGGTTTCCCTTTCAGAG